CTCACCACCAGTGTATTGTATAATTCCAACTCACCACCAGTGTGTTGTGTAATTCCCTCCTCCTCTTTTTCTCCTTAGTGTAACGTTGGTCAGCTGTCTTGATCTCCTCTTCGAGCTCGAAAACTCGCTCTCTCAAATCTTGAATTGTAAGAAAATGTGAACGTCTGCAAACTTGTTCACATTCTGACCAAATTAAAGACAGGCTTTATTTCATTTTCTCTGCTTCTGTGTCCCTATTTCTTTGCACCTCTGTGTCCAGGGAATTAAGTCAAGGGCAATTACAGTTGTTTCCTCCAACTTCTTGCATGGGAAAAAGTGAGAAGGAAAACAATGAATTAGATTGAACTGATTTGCAGATTCGTCAATCCATAACTGATTGACAAATCTTGTCTCAGCAAGCCTTAAGAAAAAAAAAATTTATACAAAAAAAATATATCTTTACCTGCTTGTGAAAAGTTTGGATCTACTTAACAATTAGTTTGGTGAATTCAACCCTGGGTCACATATGACAAACACGGATATATCGCCTGTCAGCATCTTTTTGTATCCTTACATGTAGTTGATAGCAAGAAATCTTTCAGGGGTTTTTACTTGGGCAAGTAAAACCCTGACCATTATGTGCCAGCATCAAGCACATTTGCCAGATTTGTACGGTCATCTGGGTCCATCTGACTTTAGCCATGTTGATTTCCCTACCTTGCATGTCCATATTGTCCGTCACGAGCGACTGACCGAGTCTGGCCACTCTGTCCTGTAGCAACTCCAGGTCGAAGGTCATCTGGCCGGGCACAGACTCCACAAGGTCACGTAGCTGCTGGAGGTCACGCTTGCATTCCTGCAAGAAAAGTTTTTAAATGACAGAAGTAACCAACAGAGAGCACTTCTCAAAAACGAGGCATGCATGAAGAGCTTAGGAAAGAAAAGCCAGCTTATTTCATTAAACAATGAAAAAGACTAGAATATGAAACCAAACTTGACATCTGTGTAAAAACGTAACTGTACACAGTTGCAACTTTGAACAACTGTTTGTCTCAAACTCAACGGGCAGTACTTAAGACATATGAAATCAAGAACAATCATTTAAACAATTCTTGTTGAATGGTGGTGTCATTTTTTCTTGTATCTGGCAGGACTGCATTAGGGCAATTTTTTTCACAACAAATGACAAAACCTTACATCCTTCTGCCAGACAGCAGATGATATTTATATTATGTGGTTGTATTATTAATTACAAATTTTACAATTAACATGACACTATGAGTGTTTTCTAAGTAACAATTTTGCACTCCACATATTAGCTCGTGATGTTGAGGTATTGGCTCATCAGCTGAGAATAGACGCCTTCATACCGGTGACAAATGAAGAGGCTTACAAGGTGATACTGGAACACCACAGGTGCCCTTCACTCAGCCTCAAGTTTTGCCAAATTACTTGTGTTGAGTTGTTGCTAAATAAAAATCTCCCTCTCCTCGTCAAGCACGGACTCCGTGGCAATTTACCAGCCTGATGAGGGCAGCTGAGCACATTCCGCACATATCATTTGCACCCAGCACGCACCTTTACTTTCTGATGCATGTCCTGGCAGGTGCGCCCAATGCGCAGCTGGGAGTCGTCCTCCGCTTCCATCAGTCTCTTCATGTGGCCCATAGCTTCACGGGTGCTGGCCAGCTCTCCCTGAAGCTGGGTTGTAAATCAAGACCAATGGTGACACAAAAAATCAGTGGCCAGATCCGGCGTTTACAAAACAGGGGGGGTTGACCAAATTGGAGTTGAAACCCAATCATAATGTGAAGGGCATATTATTTGCTCATCGGAATATGATACTGCACTACTACATTGCTACAATACTGTTACACGTTGACGTTAGTTTTGTCAGTACAATGAAAGAAAGAGTTCAAATGTCACTGCAGACTCCACTGACTCACCTGAGCCAGGCGTAGATACAGCATGGCATTCTCCGTTTCCAAGGCAACAATCCGCTCATCTTTTTGCTGCGAGAAAAGAGTCGGGCTCAATTTTCAAACGGAGCAACGTACAGTAAGACCACACACACAAAAGCAGGGTCATCAATTCTGGGTATCGGCTGAAAATTGGGCTATCCCTCTGGAACTGGAACGGCAGCTCTGACCTGCATGGGCTCCGGCCAATCAGAACCGGCGTCAGAAGCAGTTGAATCCAATTCATCCACAGCAGTTATGTACCAGTCCCCTTGCTTTTTCTTATTCCATTCATTCAAGTTCTGACTAGTACCCACTCTTCTGTACTCTTCCAATAAGAGTACAGAAGTTCAACCTCCAATTGCGCATTATGTGTCACTCTTTTCTTAGTTTTTAAAATTTTATTTCATTTAACCTTTTTTATTCATCCAGCAACTGCTGTGCACACTTGGATAAAACATACATGAATTCTAGAAATGTATCTTCTTTCTTCGGGAAAACTTGATGGAAAATGTGGTACGCTATTCCAGCTGCACATGCACAAGATGAAGCTTGTCAAAGGTCCTTTGTGATCATCGTTGTGCTTGTGCAAAATCAGCCTTTTCTGCATGGCTGTGTGCTGACTCACACACATGCGGCACATATTCAAGCGGGCATGATGTTAGATATTTTTTATCCCAAATGACCTTACTTCCACTGAAATACGGAATGAGCTTATTTTGAATGGGTGACATATTTCTGTTTGGTCATTTGTGATACACAGAATTCAGAGCAAATGTCTAGTTCTAACAGCTGCAGTGATGGAAGCACCTTCTATATAAATAGTCCCATGGTCAATGGCAAGTGTCTGTGCCAATCACACATTCTCATTGTCACCCACCTGTAATTTGCGATCGCATTCCTTGATCTTGTCAGGAATGAAATGAGACAGGTCCATTGGGGATGGTTTCTGAGGCATGATGGTGTCTCCAGGTACCTAATGAAGAAGTTTAGTTTGCAGTTGGTTATCGAGACAAGAAGGCCAAGTGTACCATGATTGTTTTCTTGGAAAAACAGCCAAAGAAACGCATAAATGTATCATACAGTACATACACAATGTACAATGTAAAATCCATTCACTTCATGAACATCCTCAAAACCTATCTATGACATTCATTCACCTACATGTAAACAACTCCAACACTTGCCATTCATGCACAAATTTATGCAGGTCCAATGTCTAAGCTATGAAACAGCAGTCTACAATGTTACACGTACACGTATGCACCGCTTATATTGTTCACATACATGTAAGCATTTTTTTCATACATGTAACACTCTGATTTCTCGCAAATGTGACTGCTAGTGAATACTTAATTGTGGTGCGTGCACACTTCATGTAAGTATGCATTGCAATAGGCTGTAAACACTAACTGTACGCCAAATATTGGCACTGGCAAAAGTCTGGCAGCTGTGAAATGTACATGTGCCTAACCAATTAACCACTCCAAAGGGTTGCCATGCTTGTCAAGTTCCTAAGTAAACATGACCCGGCAAAATGCAGACTGCATACACATAGCAGAGAACTGGCGGAGTAACTTATGCTGTGTGTACTGGGCAGACCTCGCTGCGCCGAGGGGACAATATCTCATCAGACCCTCACGGAAAATTTTGTTTTAGGCCCTCAACATACATGTACCGAGTTATGGAAACAAACATTTGTCCCCATAAAGATTTGGATTTCCCCATAACCCAGTAACAAGTACATGTATAGAGTACATCTGTGATTTTCTTCTAGTGTACCTGCATGCAATGACAAGTGTCTAATTTCAGCTGACTGGGCCTTGAAGTGCTGCATAACCCCAATGGGAATTCTTGATGGCACCATGGCTGGTGTTATCCAAGCTACAATGTACATGTACATGTATACTGATGTACATGTAACAGTCAATCCAATACAAGACCCAATTCACAAAATTAATGGGACCATCTGTTTTTAAGTGTTCGGGATGTACATATACAGTATATAAATACCAGTACAAAGAAAATCTGCCAAAGCATGAATATTGGATCATCCCGTAATTTGAACCTCAGAATTTAACTGGCTTAGGCCCTGCCGGTACATGTAAATTTGATACCGTTAAAAACGCCCCTTGCAATGCATTTGGGTTAAACCATGGATCACAGGTACATGTTCTGAGAGTTCAGTATGTAGACAGTGTGTGGAATCCCCCAACATGGTACCACCTACATGTACATGTACCTCATCACGGTAAGCTTAGTACATGTACATGTACTTTCCTCATGCAGTATTGTCAAACCTCTTTTTGTTGAAAAACTTCATTTTTTACTACTTCCCAAACCGTACACCATGATGAGCCTTTGGGAACAATATTCATTCTGAAATTCAAAAACAATGGCATCCAGAAATTAGGCGCAAAATAGAGGGGCTGCATGGAGCGCCCTCACAGAGAAGATGTTTGTTATAGTTTTAATGACAATGAAGTAGTAGGGGTCTACTCAAGCATCTACACAGGAACAAAGACCTGTCCTTTGTGAGGGCGCTGTGCAGCCCCTCTATCTATTCAGTCAAGCGTTCCCAAATGACATTGGTGCACTTCAACAAAATTCAGAAAATACTTCGAAGTTGGAAGTCTTTCCTATTTTTTTTCTCAATATTTTGGAGCATGGGCATTGGGAAAACTTCATTTTACACTTCAAAAACAAAATTGGAAAATCAGGCCAAAATGAAATATCTGGGGAACTTATATCAACGGGTGCATACATGTACATTGCACATTGTACTGGTACACGTACGTGTATATGTACATATATAGTAGGCCTACATACGTATGGGGTACCAATGAACTTGTTCTTCCAACTCTTGAGTCTTGCACTAATTTTGTGTTGCCATCAGCTATTCCATCATGATCTGAATCTGAATCATATGTACAAGTAGTTGGCAAGGCATCCATTAGGAAACATCACACTGACATCACACCATCAGAGAACATCTAAGGAAACATCACACCAACCAGCCTCCTGCCTCTAAAACTGGACCTTCTTCCTAACCCCGTATTGTGATGCTGATTAATAAAGTATATGAATAAACATACATGTAGGTTTGGCGCAAATAGCCTAAGACGCTGAAAGCGCCATTAAAAACAAAAACAACATCCTTACATGTAGTTACAGGATGTACATGTACGCGTGCACACAAACCAAAATTCCTCGCTGACTGCTAAACCGTGTAATACATACTGTATACGTTCGCCTTAAGCACAGAATTTTCTGCTACCGTATGCGCCAATATTTTACTTGCAGCAAGCAGCACTATGAAATTGGGCCCAGATTATGCAGACTGGCATCCAACCCCGGCTAGCCTTACGCTTACTTCATCAAGAACTCTACGTCCTTTTTCACACGCAGTGTGCTTCACCCACAGTATATATGTGTATGAACATGGAGAAATAAGTCTGCGTCATATTTCTCCATGATGATGGTCATGATGGTAATTGGTATTAACAAGAATGTTGACAAGTGTAAACAGTGTACATGTAGGTCTATAGTGCAACACGGCGTCCAAAGACAATTTCACTCCAACTTACTTTACAAGATCACATAAGCCTCTGGACAGTCCACAGCAAGATATTTCACACCTCGTACAAAACTATCATACAAAAGTACGATGTACATTACATGTTGGAGTGACGATGGAGTTCGGAAAACAACCTTCTCTAATCACTCTCAAGCGGTCCCTTTCAAACACCCTCTCAAGTCTCATTACAAATTACAATCTCACTTTGCGGCAGAAGTTTGTATCGCTAACTTTCGATGGAGGGCGTCCTTCATATCAGTTTGCGGCGGGATCGGAATCGGAGGCGAGGATGTGTGGACTAGTAGTAGGAGGGGACGTTGCATGCATGTAAATATCCTTTGGGAAGTTCTCGTTTAATGTATCTGATTATTACAGGTAAGAGCGTGGGGCACACGCGTGTCGGTTATCTGCTCTTGAATTCTGTGTTGTTTGTGCAGTTTTGGTGAATGGTTGCCAAGTCCCAACACCGCAAGAAAAATGCTATCAAGTCCATTCTGCGGAACCGCGTGTACCAATACTGTGCGTGCTGGTGTGGGGGCCTAACCGGTGGTCACGCTACAAATACATGTAGTACGACTTCCGTGCGTCATATGTAGCGTGGCAGGAAGACCTCAATTGGGCCTAATTACTTGTACAACACAGGCCTACTTTATACATAGCGCTTTATAATTTCATTGGTTCAACGTGTTGAAGCTTAATCTTAGTTGCTGTTGATCGATGTCTTGGTTCTTGACATTTACACTGCCTGGCCATGTCGACTGCATACCAATGCCATGATGATGGTGTCACTCATGTCAGTTGTTTTTCATATCACTACAGTTTTAATTTTGTTGTGTTTTTAACCATAGGGTTACTGTCAGGTACCATAGCTCCGTCAGCTCATTTGAAGTTGAATCTTGGACTCAGGAAAATTTCCTATTTCATTAGAAAAATTTTTGTCCAGAAAGTTTTCTTGACTCTCCATAGACTTTATACACAACTGCTGAAGTGGAGACAGAATGGAACATTCTTCCATTTATTTTGAAGGAAAACAACACCAAGTAATGTTAGATTATGCACCTGTTACACAATCAGTCGCATATATTTATGCAACATTGGCATTTAGGGGATATTTTCAATATTTATCAATTGTTAAAATATTTTTTAACTGGGTCATTTTAGAACAAACATCGAGATGGTCTGTTTTTTCTGGTACATTGGTGTATGCATAGAAATGAGGACATCTTGCCTCCCACAATGCCCATGATAATTAGTCATGTCAGCCAATGATGTGGATGTAGGCCCTCTGCTGCTAGAGATTGCCTTTGATGACCTGACGTTCCATGAATGCATCGGTGACGGCACGTTTGGCAGTGTCTACCGAGCCAGGTGGATCTCGCAGGATAAAGAGGTGGCAGTGAAAAAAGTCTTGACCTTGGGGAAAGAGGTAAATGTACAAAGCAGGATTGATATTTGTCAGGATTTTGCCAGATTTCGCGGGATTTTTTCATCACACAATCTCTTTTAAAATCTTGAAAATCCAAAGTTTACCATTAAGGTGTTTTTACATATACATAAAAGCCGATGTACAGTAGAACACAAGAAATGGGTACTTTAAGGGGTGTGTTTGAGCAAACACAAATGTACATGTATGTACATGTATATTGTGGAATCTACATGTACTACATGTGTGCTGGGGCACCCTCAAAACCTCTGGGGATTTCGTATTTCATGGATTTTTCATTGTCTTTCAATCTCACCCTGACATAGGCGTGTCATAATACGGGCGTTCCGCAGTAGTGCGCCTCCAAGAATTTGCAACACATTGGCCAATCACAGTGCGAGAAATTTGTCGAACCAATGCACGTTTGAAAAGGGTCAACAAATTTCGCGCCTTGTGATTGGTAGTTCTTATAAATGCAGTTCCTTGTACAGCCCCACTGGTGTGCTATTGTGTTAACAAGCCATTCAGAACAACATCATTAATTTCCAAGGTACCGTGTAAGTGGACATTGTCATGTTTATTGTGAGTGTCAGCATACCGTCTTGTGCTTGATTTGCAGGCTCAAGTTCTCAGCTGCCTGAGCCACCGTAACATCATCCAGTTTTATGGAGCAGTGACTGCTGCCCCTAACTACTGTCTTGTTATCGGTGAGGAACTAAGTTTGAATCGACTCGGTGATCTTAGGAAGTAAGCCAAAAAAGCCATTGAGATTTGCTTGATACGGTTTCCTTTCTAACAGCTTGACAAAAAATTTGTTGAAATTACTTGTTGTCAAAAGAAAACTATTGTCAAATATTTTCAGAGATTTTCGTGAAAGAAAGTTTTATGCATCCCAGAGATGTTTTGATGGAGGTTAGGGCCTACAAAGCAAAAATAGAGAAAGTGCCTGGGTAGTTCCATGTACTAACTCTATCTCTTGGCATGATGCACCGCCAGAGTTTAACTTAAGCTTTGTCCCAAGTTGAGCATTTTTGTAGTATAAATTCTGTTTCATTTGAGTGGTTTGCTTGTCGAGAAGTTCTCGGTTTTGCAGTCTACTTTCAGTGACTATATCTGTACTTGTTTTGGCTTGTTAGTGTCCACTTACTCTAAGTGGAAGCAATGTGGAATAACAAGTGGTCAACGTTTAGCAGGATGACCAGAGGTTAAATACCTGAGCAGATATGCAGATATTGGAGGCTGTTATCCGTTTTTCTTTGCCCATGTTTATAGCAATGTAACATTTAAATTTTTTTAGAATATGCTGCTCTTGGGTCCTTGTACTCCCACCTTGCCGATCCAGCCAACATTGTTGATTTCAAACAGATACTCACTTGGGCAAGGCATGTAGCTTTAGGTAAGTGTTATATTATTTGCACAAAGCCAGAGAGTACACTAACCCTGCCAGATGCTTCTAAGTGCATTCAGATGTGAAAGTCTGATTCATTTTGTTGCTTTGGCAGTCAACAGCAGCTGAATAAACTGCCCACGTTGAGACCATTATTAGTCCCATTGACCGGTGCCAGGGTTGGCTCCTGCGGTGGCTGGCAACCACAGACTCCCAGGCCATTTGCCCTTGGGTGATGGTCAGCCAGTTGGATCTGGTTGCACTGGGCCAGGCAAGCCACTTTGACAGATGATGCAGACTGATTCGTCTGGCAAGGTTCCCAGCCCAAAATATCTTCAATGTTGGAGTGAAACTTACAAAGAAATAATTTCCTCTGCCTGCTTGTTGGAAAACATGATTTGGAGTTCTGAAACAGATTGATGTACATAGCAAAAACCTGCACCCCTCTAGCCTGCTTGGCAGCCTACTAGGTCTAGAGCAGTTCTCATAATTAATAAAAAAATTCTGTGGATAGCTTTTGTGAGGAAGCCCACCCCTAACTCTTTAAATCCTGCGCTGATATCAAAGCCATATTCTTTTTTGCTAGCCTCAGCTTTTGTTGGCCGTCACCAAGCATTTCTTGCAAAGCAATAGCTGGGCCCCAACTTTCTCAATCGACTCCAAAAAAAACACCTGTCCATTTTGAAGCATCTTGGTACGTAATTAGGCTACCACTTCCTCTGGGCAGGTACACTTTGAAAGATCAGTCGTCATCAATCTTGTGCAATATTTATCAACCAGCCTGTGTTTACTTTAGCACAGTGGCAGCTATGTAGGTACATACGACAAGGCTTTTTATCATATCCTATTCTTCGTGTTGTTGTATTGTCTATTTGTTCAGCGCTACCAGCACAAAATAAAGATTTTTAATCAAGAAGGACTTAAGTACATGTACATGTATTTTACTTGTAACGATTGAAGAGTTTATTTCCAAAATGCGATAAGGGCCACTTTGGTATCATTCAGAATCCTACCCTCTCTCTGTTGTCTGCAGTCAGTTTCTACAAATTTAAAGGCAGCCACACACAAATTTAATTCGTCAAAGTGAAAAAAGACGTTTAGGGACGTGTAGTACTTTGTTAAAGTTCTTCAGTCTTTTCATAACTGTGGAAAAATTGCATGTTTTTCAAATATCTCATTTTGAAAGTAAACCCTTCAATTTCACTAGATAGCGCACTAAAGATTGTTTGAGATCAGGCATAAGACTCCTTCTGTCACTGATAACAAGAAGAAACAATTGTTCTCTTTGAAAAGATCAAACAGACTTCTTTGCCATGTATTTTGTGCACAGGTATGAACTATTTGCATAATGAGGCTGCAGTCAAGGTGATACACAGAGACCTGAAATCAAAGAACTGCGTCATCTGCGACGGAATGATCGTTAAGGTACA